TAACATCTATCTACCCCTAAACTCTGGTAAAAGCCTATGGACACATAAGCTTTTACTGAGTTGAGTTCAGGGGCTTTGGCAAAAAAACACCAAGAGCTCCTAAACTTACGTTTAGGAGTAGCAGTGTACATGAAGCCTAACAGTTAATATCACCTGATAATAACATCTTATACACTACCCTAATAACATCCTCTACTACTTCAACTTTACATATGGTTACACCGTACAGTTGGTTTATGAAGGCTGCTATTATGACATTTTTTGGACTTGTCTTGATATACTTAGGCCTCATGTACACATGAACTCACATAGTCGTTAAACTCTCCTGGCAGCAGAAAAACTATAGCCGTAGCATAAACGCATGTAAACGCGGTACCACGTTTTACCTGCGTTTAGTGCTTATACCTTTATTCATTTGATTGGCCAGAGTATTTTCCAATGACTTGGATAAACACCCAAGCGCTAAACACGACTAGCGTTTAGCCACATTTACACTTTTTTGCCAAGTTTAGCATTTTTGGCCAAAACATTCCTCTCCTGAACACGATTATTCAACGTTCAGAAGAGGAACGTTTAACTGCCACTAAACTCTGCTGCTCCTAAACGCTGATGTGTACATGGACACATAGGCTTTTATTGAGATGAGTTCAGAGACATTGGCAAAAAAATGCCAAAAGCTCCTAAACTCACGTTTAGGAGCAACAGTGTACAATGAGGCCTTATAGGTAATGGATAATATGATCACTTTCCATTTCTTCCACTGTGTTGTGAGTATATTATGTTTACAATAAATTTGTAATAATTTTATGGGAATGCAAGATGTATGGCCTTTTCTTTGATGAGATACATATAACGTGAGCATTCCTGGAAGTGATTTCCTTGCTGGCTACTATCTGCTGAATATTGTGAAAGAGCACCTGTGACTTCCATAATAGGGTCTCTGGATTTGGTAAGAGGCATGTTTTAGTGGTGGTAGAAGTGAAGTAGTGTCCCTGATGGTACTTCACTGGGTGTTGGAAAACGTAAGTGGTCACAAGAAGTCCTTATTACACATTTTATAACCCTAGTTGACTTTCACATAATATCTCACAACCAGTGTGGTGGACCTAAGCTTATATTGAGATTGTGTTTGGATTTTTTGCCCACTTTGTTTGCATTGCATTCACTATTGTATGGGTTTTATATTCACTATTTTTAAAGAAAGTTGCACATTTACTTATTTTACTTATGTATATATGTTTGAAGTATCTGTTTGTGGATAATAGTGGAAGCAGCTATCTTATATGTGATATTGGTTACACTTTTTTAGTTTACATATTTTTTTAAATCCTTTTGAGGTTTTGTTTATTACACAAGCACAGAGTTCACTGAGGTTTAGCATGATTTAAAAGATGTAATCTTAAACTGTGGAAGGGAATCTTTACTGCTAGAGCAGTGAAAATGTGGTGATGTTAGCTGAAAGTTGAATACATTTTAAAAAGACATTTAGATATCTTGCTCAGTGGGCATAATGCACAGGACTATGGAAATTGTTACATTTGAAAGAAGGTTGATTGAGGAATTTTTCTGACCCCCAATATGGGGTAAGGAAGAATTTTTTTACCTTCTTGGAAAATTAGACTATTCATGTAAGGGTTGTTTTTTTGCATTCCTCTGGATCAAATACAAAGCACACACACACAAAGGCTGAACTTGATGGACCTGTGTCTTTTTTTCTAACTTGTTTAATATAAAACTTTGAATGTGTAGCCCATTTTCCCAAACTTCATAATGTATTATATTTCCCTAAGACCCAACTCCATGAAGTAAAAAAAAATATCTACACTTGCAGTTGGCCCCCTCTGCTCATAAGTCAAGTGGAAGAGGAATATACAATCTTATTTACCTTATTCTATACTCTGGCAGAATTCAGTTTTTTTCCCTAATGCTTTAGCTTGTGGGTGTTCCCTCACCATCCTCACCTACAATGTAACACTATTGGCACTGCATTGTACTTGATCACATCATTGTGTAACTGCCTGCCAAATCCATAGCTCCATTCAAGACTCGTACACTTATGCATTGACAGTCTGGATGCTGGTCACTATAGTGCATCCCCTATTCTTTAAGGAAGCCAGGAGTAGTGAAATGCGTCAAGCATGGTTGTTTCTTAGGTGGAGACATTGCTGTATGCAGTTATTATGTAGTGATGGGCTGGGGTTCGCGGTCGAACATTTGAACCTACTGAAAGTTCAGCCGTAAACTTCAAACAGGGACAATTTACTGAGTGGTATCTTGCCGCATCTGAGTATGTGGTAAGATACCACTCAGTTACTAAAATACCATATGAGTTATATTATTATGTCATGCTGTATTTTAGCAGTGAAAGATTCATTCATGTGTCAGCTGTCTGTGGGGTTCCCCATTGACAGCTGAATGTGAAAAGAATTGGTGGCAGTGCCTGACAATTAAGAAGAAAAAAAAAAGAAAAAAGATAAAAAAAACTGGCATAGGGTCCCCCCCCACCCATCCATACCAAGCCCTTCTGGTCTCTGGATTTTGAGGGGAACTCCCACACCAAAATGTTAAAAAAAGACATAGGGGTCCCCCCAAAATCCATACCAGACCCTTATCCAATCATGCAGCCCAGCAGGTCAGGAAAGGGGGGAGACAAGTGAGTGCCCCTCTCTCGAACCATACCAGGCCACATACCGTCAACATGGGGGGGTGCTTTGCGGCAAGGGGGATCCCCCAAAGCACCTTGTTCCTATGTTGATGGGGACAAGGGCCTCTTCCCCGCAATCCTGGGGGGGGGTCTGCAAGTAGGAGGCTTATTAGAATCTGGAAGCCCTATTTAACAAGCCCCCAGATCCTGCCCCCCCATGTGAATGAGTATACCGATACCAATTCACAGAAAAAAAGTGTAGTGTAAAAAAAAGACAGGAGACAGTCTTTGACATGTCCTTTATTAAAAATAAAAAAATGTCCCCTGAAGTAGATCCAACTTCAGTTACGATGCCGCCATCACCGCCTAGCAGTAAAAAGAAAGAAAAATCCACTCTGCCCTTGCCTCGCTCTGCCCTGGCTCCCACTGTCTGACAGCTGCATTGCGATGAGTTCTTAAATAGGGTGATTACATCACAAGGGGTAGGGATTACTCCCATCCCCTTTTGACATCATCATGCCCTGTGATTGGCCAAAGCTATTGTCAGGGCTCCCAGGTGTGACCAGAGGTGTGTGACTGACGCAGGGAAACGCAGACTTCAGATATGTGATAAACAATATAATTTATTAACACTAACAATACAAACATAAACGCAGTGCAATACTAAACATAATACAGTGCAAACAAACCAACCACCCACAGATAACAGTACATACAAGCAAGCGTCGTCAGGCAGGCCGGGTCAATATCAATAGGGCAGGTAGGTACAGGGGGAGCAAACGGAGATTGGTCGGGGTCACAGGCCAGGTTCAGCAGGTAGCTAGCAGCGTAGTACAGAGGGTCAGGCAGAGGGATGGTCAGGGTCACAAGCCAGGGATCAGAACAGGTAGCAGGCAGCGTAGTACAGAGGGTCAGGCAGAGGGATGGTCAGACAAGCCAGGGATCAGAACAGGTAGCAGAGAATCAGACAGGAACAGAGAGCAGGAACAGGATACAGGGCCCAAGAGAAACACAACACCAAGGCAGAGTCTGCAAGTCTGGCCATCCCTTAAATACCCCAGCATAATCAGTTCCAGGTGTTAGCTGGCTGCAAAGTTGAGTCTCTGATTGCTGGGAGCATCCGCTGGCCAGCCCTGGTACTGCAGATCAAAAGGCAGGTGAGTCCCACCATTGCTGGCTAGTCCATTCCTGACAGTACCCCCCCCTCAAGGAGCGGCCTCAGGACGCTCCAAACAGTCCTAGCTGGGCAAAATGTTCCACCGCCCGGGTCTGGTAACTGGCGGGATATCAAAGACTGGCACACCTGGCAGGACTCCGGGCAGCGGCACACCGGGCAGGACTCCGGGCAGCGGCACACCGGGCAGGGGCACACCGGGCAGAGGCACATTGGGCAAAGGCACACTGGGCAGGACTCCGGGCAGAGGCACATCGGGCAGGACTCCGGGCAGAGGCACATCGGGCTGGACTCTGGGCAGAGGCACATCGGGCTGGACTCCGGGCAGAGGCACATCGGGCTGGACTCCGGGCAGAGGCACATCGGGCTGGACTCCGGGCAGAGGCACATCGGGCTAGACTCCGGGCAGAGGCACATCGGGCAGGACTCCGGGCAGAGGCACATCGGGCTGGACTCCGGGCAGAGGCACATCGGGCTGGACTCCGGGCAGAGGCACATCGGGCAGGACTCCGGGCAGAGGCACATCGGGCAGGACTCCGGGCAGAGGCACATCGGGCAGGACTCCGGGCAGAGGCACATCGGATTACCAGGCGAAGCAGCAGGCAGCGGGCCACCAGGCGGAGCAGCAGGCACCGGGCCCCCGGGCCCCCGGGCGGGGCAGCAGGCACCGGGCCCCCGGGCGGGGCAGCAGGCACCGGGCCCCCGGGGGGGCAGGCAGCAGGCAGCGGGCCCCCCGGGCGGAGCAGCAGGCAGCGGGCCCCCGGGCGGAGCAGCAGGCACCGGGCCCCCGGGCGGGGCAGCAGGCAGCGGGCCCCCCGGGCGGAGCAGCAGGCAGCGGGCCCCCGGGCGGAGCAGCAGGCACCGGGCCCCCGGGCGGAGCAGCAGGCACCGGGCCCCCGGGCGGAGCAGCAGCAGGCGTCGGGCCCCCAGGCGGGGCGACAGGCGTCGGGCCCCCAGGCGGGGCGACAGGCATCGGGCCCCCAGGCGGGGCGACAGGCATCGGGCCCCCAGGAGGGGCGACAGGCATCGGGCCCCCAGGAGGGGCGACAGGTCTCGGGCCCCCAGGAGGGGCGACAGGTCTCGGGCCCCCAGGCGGAGCGACAGGTCTCGGGCCCTCAGGCGGAGCGGCGGGCGCCGGACCCCCAGATGGAGTGACAGGTCTCGGGCCCCCAGGCGGAGCGACAGGTCTCGGGCCCTCAGGCGGAGCGGCGGGCGCCGGACCCCCAGATGGAGCGACAGGTCTCGGGCCCTCAGGCGGAGCGGCGGGCGCCGGACCCCCAGGTGGAGCGACAGGTCTCGGGCCCCCAGGCGGAGCGACAGGTCTCGGGCCCTCAGGCAGAGCGGCGGGCGCCGGACCCCCAGGTGGAGCGACAGGTCTCGGGCCCTCAGGCGGAGCGGCGGGCGCCGGACCCCCAGGTGGAGCGACAGGTCTCGGGCCCTCAGGCGGAGCGGCGGGCGCCGGACCCCCAGATGGAGCGACAGGTCTCGGGCCCTCAGGCGGAGCGGCGGGCGCCGGACCCCCAAGCGGGCATCGAGTCAACTGGCAGGACTGCGGGAACTGGATCAGGTACCGGATCATCTGGATCAACAGCGGGCATCGAGTCACCAGGTATGACAGTGGGCACTGGGTCACCAGGCATCAGGTCATTTGGCTTGCCAGCGGGCACCGCGTCATCTGGCAAGGCAGTGGGCGGCCTTGGTGTAATGTCAGGGCTCCCAGGTGTTACCAGAGGTGTGTGACTGACGCAGGGAAACGCAGACTTCAGATATGTGATAAACAATATAATTTATTAACACTAACAATACAAACATAAACGCAGTGCAATACTAAACATAATACAGTGCAAACAAACCAACCACCCACAGATAACAGTACATACAAGCAAGCGTCGTCAGGCAGGCCGGGTCAATATCAATAGGGCAGGTAGGTACAGGGGGAGCAAGCGGAGATTGGTCGGGGTCACAGGCCAGGTTCAGCAGGTAGCAAGCAGCGTAGTACAGAGGGTCAGGCAGAGGGATGGTCAGGGTCACAAGCCAGGGATCAGAACAGGTAGCAGGCAGCGTAGTACAGAGGGTCAGGCAGAGGGGGATGGTCAGACAAGCCAGGGATCAGAACAGGTAGCAGAGAATCAGACAGGAACAGAGAGCAGGAACAGGATACAGGGCCCAAGAGAAACACAACACCAAGGCAGAGTCTGCAAGTCTGGCCATCCCTTAAATACCCCAGCATAATCAGTTCCAGGTGTTAGCTGGCTGCAAAGTTGAGTCTCTGATTGCTGGGAGCATCCGCTGGCCAGCCCTGGTACTGCAGATCAAAAGGCAGGTGAGTCCCACCATTGCTGGCTAGTCCATTCCTGACAGCTATGGTCAGGTGCAATGCTTTGGTCAATCACAATGCACTCTCAGTGCGCAGTGCACTGTGGGGAGCGGCGGGCGAATAGCCCACCAATCGCCCATACTGTTCAACCTGACCATGCAGCCATGTTGAGAATCAATAAACATGGCAAGAGGAGCTACGAAAGGAGTGCGGCTGAGGGGGATTGATCACACAGATGAAGGGAGCCTGCCAAAGTGAGAAATGAAACACACCCAAACTTTCAAATTAGCCACCATGAAGCAGCTCACATCCTGATATAAGATGAATATCTGTACTCATAAAATATGCTATGTTAACCCTCTAGAACCTTCTGTAAAACTGCAGTTAATGAATATGAAGAGGCAACATTACAATCCAAACCATGTAATGAATAATATAGTTATAATGCAATCCAAATTCCTCACATGCAAATCATCATAAGGCAAACATCATCTGTAATCCAAAATTTTTCAAGATCCAACCACCAGCAAGGACAATGTGGACTCCTATCAAAAATTTAGACCTCAAAGTCATAAGCGATCTAGCTACACTTATGGGTAAGCCCCCTCAAAAAAGACTCCTGGACTGATTGATCTGGATAAAGTTATAAGTTATATTGCTGACTTCATGGAGGGGGTAGACCACTTTTTAACAAAATATTTCTCAAATGGTTACAAAGATGGCAGAGAGCCACAGTGAGCTTGCCAGGATTTTCCCGTTCTCCATAAAGGAAGACTGCAAACAGAAAAGCAGAAGAGCCTAGACTGGGGAGAGCACTGGTGGAGGGTACTGGCTGTCCTTCAATTGTTACAGTGGTGCTTAGCACATCAATAAGAGTGTCTATGTAGGTAGTAATGGCAGAATACTGATTCCTCAGGTGAAGGTTCATCTCTCAGGGACTTTAGAGACTCAGCATCCAATACAGTCTAGATCGGGTGTCGGCAACCCGCGGCTCCGGAGCCGCATGCGGCTCTTTTTCACCTTTCCTGCGGCTCCGGAGCACACTGCCCACCAGGTGACAGGCAATAGGGTCGGCAAGCCGCGGCTCTTTTAATGCAGATCTTCTGTGTGCCGGGCGCCCGCTGGCAAACATTGGCTGTCAGGATGTAGGCGGGGCAGCCCGGATGTAGGCGGGGCAGCGTGACGAACTCCTCTCCTCTCACAGTCCGCCCTGAAGACCAGAACGGCGCGGGAACCCAGCGAGAGGAACGCGCGGAGCAAAGGTAAGTGAATTCACACAATATGGGGAATGAATTACTATGGGGGATGAATTACTATAGGGGGGATGAATTACTATATGGGGGATGAATTACTATAGGGGGGATGAATTTTCAGTTTTAAAAATGTTTCTCTCAAAATAAATTTCAATTGTGGTTTTGGCGAGATTTGGCTCAGTCGAAAAAAAAAAAAAAAAAAGGTTGCCCACCACTGACCTAAGGCTATGATTGTGATTATGACGATACACTGTGGCCCTGATTAACCCTTTGCTTACTGGGCCCTTAAACCCCCTTCATGACCAGAGCGTTTTTTGCAATATATGCAGTGTCGGATTTGTTTTAAATGTTGCAATGGTTTTGCGGCTCCCAGTCTTTTTTTCCCTCTCGGAAACGGGTCCAAGTGGCTCTTTATGTCTTAAAGGTTGCAGACCCCTGGTCTAGATAGATGAAAGATCAAAGGCTGCAAATGCTGTGTGCAGATCAGATAGAGATTCTGCAGGGGAAGGTGTGGGAGTGTGCTTTTGTTGTCAGAGACAGAAATCATCAGTGCTGCATGACTGCACTGAAAGAATAGATACATCAGAGGAGGCAGACACACCATGGAGCAGCAAGACATTCAATTTTAATTATTGGGTTTCAATATACTTTAAAAAATAATAGAAAATGGTGCAATGGGAAGCTCATGTACAAAATATTTTGGTTAATAGTAGATAGGTGACTGAAGCATCCTATAAAATAATAACCCCCTATGAACATAAAAGGTGACAGAATTGTCAAAACACCCCCAAATTTGCACATCAACACATATCAACCTCACCAGTACTGGTACTACACTAAAGTGCAGGTGGAGACTGAAAACGTCATCTCTAGTCTACAGCATAGGCAGCTGATAAATTTCTGCAGAAGCTCTAATTGTTGGTGATAGTTATGACATGTAAATCTGTTCATTGATTTGATAATAACAGCAACATGGACAGTGGATGGACTCTGAGATTTGAAAAGCTGGAATGCACAGAGCAGATGACATGAAACAGCTCAGGCTTGCAGAGTGAGTTCAGATCAGCAAAGTAATAGAGTTCCTGCAGACAGAAGGTGACAGAGACAAGCCAGTGGAGCACACACATGCTTCACAAATGTCCAGTGTCATGGGGCTGATCCAGTTAGCTGCTGCCTTTAGAGACCAGATTAGCAACAATGTGATAAGAATCTTGACTGAAGGGAAGAAAATCTGAAGACAAATGAAGCTGCAAAAAAGGTAAACTTTTCTCAGCAGAGTAAAGACATCTATCATCCTAGGACACTAGCAAAAAAGGCTTGCTGGGAGTAGGAGGGATTATCCTAAACTGGCCCACAATTTTTTAGTATGCCAGTATAAGAATCTCCTGTAAGTGGCAGTATAACTAAAACTTATCAGAACTGCTGTGTCCCTTATTGCAAGAGAAAGAAAGAGAAGTTTGAATGTGATTGGTGGGTTTGGGACATCACAGAACAGATGTTACATGACAAATGATAAATGAGGAGGAATATTTCTTGTTATATAGCCTAATATCCCGCAACAGCCTCCATAGTGCAGTATTGTTTCTTAGTTGCTAAAGTCCTACAAGAAGGTGACAGGATGGTGTGAGGTCCATCTTTGTACAATCAACTTTAGATCTTCCAAAACTATGTAATATTGAGGACCTACCTAAACTATCAAATCTATCTCTATACAATCAAACAGGCTCTACATACTTGTTGGTAGATATAACAGAGTTTGTACAATCAGACTGTAATTTGTGTGGTGAGCTTAATAGATATTCTGGAGGATGCTGGGAAATAATGTGAAAGCATTCTGCTGAAATTTGATAGTTTCTACCCTTTCTTCTAGGATCAGCAAGCACTCCTTGTCAGAGGAAGCAAGAAGAGAACTAGACAATCTGAAAAAGCTCCAACCAGGACTTGAGGTTAAGGGATGATGACCCCAGAGGAAGAGACTCAGCTACAGCTGTGAATAAAGCTGGGATATAGTTCTGGATGAGAATAAGATATAGATATGAGCAAACCCGACCCAAGAGGAGAATGAATCATCACATATGAACTAATACATCAGGACAGGATGGGGAGGAATTTTGTTTTATAATAAAGGAGGTAAAAACTCCACCAAAAATATGAACATTTTGTATAATCCATATACTGGGCAGCACAGTGGCTAAGTGGTTAGCACTTTCATTTTGCACCACTAGGGTTGTTGGTTCAAATTTCAACCATGACACTACCTGCCTGGAGTTTGCATGTTCTCCCTGTGCCTGTGTGGGTCTTCTCTGGGTACTCCAGGTTCCTCCCACACTCCAAAGACATGCTGATAGGTTAATTAGCTCCTGTCTAAATTGGTCTTTGTATGTGTATGTATGAATGTGAGTTAGAGACCTTAGATTAAAAGCTATTTGAGGGCAGGGGCTGATTTGAATGTACAATATATATGTAAAGTGCTGTGTAACTTGTCAGCAATATATAAATAGCTGTTATACATAAAAATATATAACCTGACTCAAAACACAGGCATCATGCTGACTGAATGTATCTGTCATCCCAGTATGTATCTTACACAGCTGGCTACCCCTTTCACTACCCCATGGTGGCCAGGATCCTTGTTTTCTGAATGGAGTCTTATCCCAGTATTTCACTGTCAGACTTCCCACACTGACCCAGTGTCCGCTGCTTGGATTGATACCTGCAGGAGAGCTCAGAAATATGTTTGTATGAAGCTGTGTGCTAGAGGAGTAAAATACAGGAGGATTCATCAGAAGTTGGTTCAGCCCAGGAGCAAAATCAGTGGATAGAGGACCCCTTGAAGAGTGCTGGTGGTTGCCAGTGGGGGATGATGTGGAAGTTTCTGATCATCTCAATGGATATTATCACACATTACATATGTATTTCACATTACATATGTAGCACTTAGGAGTCGCTGAGTTTTTGGGTCCCCCTATAGTCCCCCTGCACAGCCAGGCAACACAGATTTTCTTCAGACCTTGCACACAGGAAACAGTTAAGTCTTTGAGCTTTTTTTTGTAGTTGTATTAAGAAATATTAAACTTGGATGGGTTTGAGGGATGTATGGGATGCCCTAGAAACTGTAACTG